AGGAGACGGGGAGAGAGCTGGAGACTGAAGGGTCACAGTAAAGGGGCTATTTTGTGGATTTAAAAGCAAGGCTCAGGAAAATAGTTTGGTGGCTCCTTAGCAAGTTAAGTGTACAATTACTATTTGACCCAGCAATCCTCTTCCTAGGTATAATAGCCCCAAAGAATCAAAAATAGGGACTCAAAGAGGTACTTGTGCCCCCACATTCATTGCAGCCTCATTCACAATCGCCAAAATGTGAAAGCAACACAAATGTCTGTCCACAGATGGCTGGATAAACAAAATGTTGCCTATCTATACAATGGAATACTATTCAGCCCTAAAAAGGAGGGAAATTCTGACACAGGCTATAGTGTGGATGAGCCTTGAGGACATTATGATAAGTGAAATAAGCCAGTCACTAAAGGTCAAAGGTTGTATGATTCCACTTACATGAGGTGCCTGGAATTGGCAAATGCATAGAGACACAAAGTAGATTAGAGGTCGCCTGGGGTCGGGGGCGAAGGGGAGATGGGGTGCTTAATGGGTACAGAGTTTCTGTTTGAGGTGATGCAAAAGTTTGGGAAATGGTAGTAATGGTTGCACAACATTGTGAATGCACTTAATGTTAATTAAGTGAATGTACTAAAAAAATGGTCAAACTGTAACTTTGAGGTTATGTATATTTGACTACAATAAAACAAAACAAAACAAAACAAAAATGTGAGGCTCAGGTTTTTCCCAGGTTGAGAATGTCTGTACCATGACAATGTAAGGAAACAAAAATGGTACAGACAGGCCGGGCCTGGAGGAAGCAAGGCCAGCGAAGGGATTTGAGAACTCATGCAAAATAAGAACCCGGGGCTGGTTTAGCCTCATGCTGGGGCAGGTGAGGAGAGGGCCAGCAGGCGCAGGTGTCAAGCTGAGAGGGCAGGTTTTTCCCAGGTTGAGAATGTCTGTACCATGACAATGTAAGGAAACAAAAATGGTACAGACAGGCCGGGCCTGGAGGAAGCAAGGCCAGCGAAGGGATTTGAGAACTCATGCAAAATAAGAACCCGGGGCTGGTTTAGCCTCATGCTGGGGCAGGTGAGGAGAGGGCCAGCAGGCGCAGGTGTCAAGCTGAGAGGGCATTCTGGCAGAGGGATGAACCAGGAATGGCAAATTCAAGCACCCTCAGGGGCAGGCAGGTAGTGAAATGAGATGTGTGAGTCTAGGTAGGGACTAAGACCATAGGGAGTGGGATTCTGTGGTGGAGTGAAGTGCTTTGACACAAAAAACAAACACCACCACAGCTCTGTTGGCTAAGCAGCCATACACGGGAAGCCCCCACCTCTGCTGCCCTGGCCGTCCTCTGTGACCCGCCAGGAAGTGGCTCAGGCTTTCCTCACCTCAGGCGTTTCCAGGTGTCTCACTGCACACCCCCCCTACCCCCCCACTCCACCCTGGGGCTGTGTAGGAAGCTGGGACTCACTCTCCAGCCTTGTTTGTAAGCTCCTAGGAGGAAGATGTTGCAGACCTCTGGCTAGACACTTCAGAGCTCCCTGAGCTGTAAGCTCAGTTAAGTACAGCCTTCTGGGTTAGATGCCCACAAGGTTTAAGGATCTGAAGGTGGAGAGTGTTAGAAGAGGCAGGGCCTCTGGAGAGCATTTGGATGACCTCCTCAATGTGCAGGTGGGCAGATGGGACCCGGAAGGACAGACACATGCGGGGAGGAGCCCTTTGTCACCTTGAGTATTTTTGCAAAGGCTGAGTGACTACCTGTGGGTGATGCTACAATGAAGATTCCCTTCCTGAGTCGGAGGTGGACTGGATTTTGTGAACCGTGTCTTCTGGATCTGAGAGTCTCTCATCCAAGGCCCCCCATGAAGCCATTCTCCCTGTGGATGGCAGCTCATTTCCTTCTTCATTCAGTTTGAACACTCCCCATCTGGCTTTGCTTTGGAGCAGTTATTATTGGTAATCAACCATCAATCCAGCCCTAATGATGCTGCCTGAACACAGTGTGCGGTGAGGGCTGGACCACATCTGCCTTGGCCGTCCTGGGGCTGCCAGATTGTGACCTGCCAGGAAGTGGCAGGGGGACATCCCCAGGAGGTCTGCTGGCTCTGACCTCTTCCCACCTCCCTCCAGGCCCCTTAGGGGGTAGAGACCAGGCCTCTGCCCTAAGCCTCTCTCTCCCCTTTCCTTACCTTAAGGACCAGTGGGCCTCTCAAATCCACCCCTTGGCCTGGCTAACACTTGAAACTGCCTTTGGAGTCTGACCCAAGGCATGGAGACCACCCAGAGAAGTGGGGACAAGAGACTCAGGAGAGGGGAAAGGGAGACAAAGTCAGCTGATGTCGTAAACATGCGAAGGAGGGTTGCCCATGCTCATCTTGAGCTGTGGGAAGACTGGGCTCCTGGTTGTGTGTGTGGGGGGGGAGGGGGGAGGTGCTCGTGCATAAATGTACTTGAACCACCATGCGCTGTGTCCCATGGTGGAATGACCAAGGCTAGGAGGCATGCCTGGTTGTGAATTTTTGCCCTTGACTTGGATAAAGTGACCTACTCTCTCAAAGCCTCAGTTTCCCCAGCCGTGAAATGAGGGCAAGCACAGTCACCATGCCCCTGCAGGGAGGAATGAGGAGCCCCCTGGGGAAGGCAGTGGACACTATAGGAAGCTCTGCACACGTGAGGCCTTGGCCCTAAACTCTGCCTCCCCTCCACACCCCGTCTCTTTCCTCCAGGTCTTCTCAGGCCCCATCTCCAAAGGATGAATCACCTAATACCGACACAGAGTTCATTGCAGGCCAATGAGACACTGGCTACAAAGGGAGAAAGTAGGCTGAGGATCAAAATGCTGTTTTTTTTTTTTTTTTTTTTTTTTTTTTTAAGAAACTCCTCAGTTCCTGTTGGATTTCTAGTGATGGCGAACCTTTTGAGCTCGGCGTGTCAGCATTTTGAAAAACCCTAACTTAACTCTGGTGCCGTGTCACATATAGAAATTTTTTGATATTTGCAACCATAGTAAAACAAAGACTTATATTTTTGATATTTATTTTATATATTTAAATGCCATTTAACAAAGAAAAATCAACCAAAAAAATGAGTTCGCGTGTCACCTCTGACACGCGTGTCATAGGTTCGCCATCACTGGATTAGACATTCCTTTTGGTTCTCCCTCAGCAGGCTCGGGGCAGCAGAGCCAGTAGGAGTGGGAGTGTTTTTGAAGTCACTCTCCTGCTCAAGATCGCACAGCGGCTCCCCATTGCCAACAGATAGGCACTGAGCAGCCGCCAGGGCCGACAGCGTGCCAGGTGCTGGGTGCTGGGCATATGGTGGAGAGCAAGTCACAGTGCAACAGTTGAGATCTTCCAGCTGCATTTTCCGCACCATCTATATGAGATTTACCTGGGTGGAGGTAGGGCTTGAATCAGCATCTCAGGGGCTGGGACCTGGGGATCCACCTTCTAAGCAAATTCCCCATGTGATTCTCTGCACACGGAAGTATGAGAACCAGCACCTAAGGATCGTGAATCTAGGGATTGGCCTTTGCCCCCACGTGGATTTCCACCCCTCACCCACGCCCACTGCCAAGGAAGAAGAATGAGGGAGCTAAGGAGCTGAGATAAAGTCATAATGTTTCCATTGCCAACAAGGACAGGCTGTCATTCATCTGTCACATCCAATTTGTTCGATCTGCCCTCAACGTTTGTTGACTACATTTGGGCCACTTTCCCCCCGCTTTTCCCTTTCTCGTTGCCTCTTGATGCACATTAAAGTAGTGTCCTTACTTAGAAACTTACAACGGACACATTGCCACCTGAACAAAGCCCTGACTCATAGCCCAAACATGTCACATTGTCTTGTACCCACATAAGCAGAAATCAGGGGTCGTGTGGTGATTTTACACCTGGTGGCACGTGGAAAAAGTGGGAGAAAGTTGCAAAATAACAATGATTTCAGCGAGATAGACATTTAATTCTTTTCTACTTTAAAGAAGTCAAGGAGAGGCGCCTGGAGCTTGTAGAGTGGCTTTATGAAATCATCCAATATCCAGGCTCTTCCCAACTTGCTTCTCTACCTTCTGCATGAGGTTCGCTATGTACTTTCCACTTATGGTCCTCTGTGGCTGCTCCAGCCCCTGCCCTCATATCCACCTTCCAGTTAGTACAAACAATAAAGAGGAGGAGAAGGGCACACCTCCTTGCCTTCAAGACACCTTTTGGGAGTCACACATGACTTTTGCTTACATCCCATTTGTCATGGCTCAAAGGAATCTGGGAAATGTAGTCTTTATTTCAGGTGCCCATATGTCCAATTAAAAGTCAGAGGTTGTATAATCAAAGAAGAAGGGGAGGACAGAAAATGGGGGCCGCTAGCACTCTGTGGCACCATTGTAGTTCTTCAAGCCCACCCGTGTTTGCTATGGTGATAGTTACATTTGAGTTGATTTATAAGTATAGATGACTGCCTCACCCCTATTAAGAGCAAAACTGGAGAAAATGTGGAGAAGTTAGTAAGAGTCAGAGTGAGATTATTACAAAGTGAATAAGAGTAAATTGTAACTTTTCAAATGAGCATGTATAATCACTTTGGATTTCGGAACAATTGGGTGTGGAGACCACCTTTGGAATACTATATCCTCCTAAAAGGAGCAATATTCTTTTCTGTGAAAAATTTCAGGTGTGTCCTCTGTTCCTCCTTCGCACCCCTGCAATCAGGATCAATGTGCCTTTCCTAGTCTGACCTTCAACCCCACCCCATGATGGATCCCCCTGATTTCCCCGCCCCTACAGTCTACCCTCACCCCATTCATTTTGTGCATAGATTACTCTTTCTGATCAGCTCACTCCTTTGCTCGGAAGGCTCCAGTGCTCCACACGTGATTCCCATCAAATAAAACCACTCACTGTTTCCTTAACTCACCCCGGGTCTTGGCTTCTCCGAGCTTCTGCGTAAGCTGCATCGCTGGCTCGCCTCAGCGAGTTTCCACTGGCCCTGCTGGCGAGGAGCATGTCCTGGCCGGACCAAGGAGGATGACGGACATGTGGAGCAGAGCCGCCCAGCCGCCCACAGACCGGCCTGAGAAGCAGAACCACCAGCTGCCTCTGTGCAGGGCGGAGCTGGCCCGCGCAGGTCTGTGAGAATACGTGCCTATTGTGTGCCTCTGTGATTCTATAACTATTTATTATGTACTATCTTTGCAGCAAGAGCTAACCTATCCACCTAACTAGATACACTCTTCCCACAGTGGGTCAGCCAAGATAGGAGTTTATTTCTCTCTCATGGGAAAGCTGCGGCGGAGCAGTCTGGTTTCGAGCCCTCCACGCAGCAGAGTAGAGACAATCCGAGGGGTGGGTGGGAGTGGAAATTCAGCCGAGCTCCCAGCCCAGGGCTGTGGGGAATACGAGGAAGAAGCACCGTTTTCTAACTTGCCCACCCCGAGGAAATAGCTTTCTGTGTCCCCGCAGAGAGCGCGGATGCATGCCAGCTGTCTTGTTGTGTTTTTGTTTTTACTTTTCTTTTTGAAGAATTTCAAATGTAAACTGTATTAGTCAAACTTCTCCAGAGATACAGAACCGCTAGGGCATGTGTACAGATATACAGAGGAGATTCATTATAAGGGATTGGCTTACACGATGATGGAAACCGAGAAGTCCCCAGGTCTGCTGTCTGCACGTTGGAGAATGAGGAGAGCTGACCGTGGAGCTCCAGTCCACGGAAGGCCCTAGGACCAGGAAGCCATGGCCTCAGTCCCAGTCTGAGTGTGAAGGCCCAAGAGCCAGGAGCACCATGTCCAAGGGCAGAAGGTGGATGTCCCAGCTCAAGCAGAGAGAGTGAATTCACCCTTCCTCTGTCTTTTAAAAAGAAATATATTCTTATTGACTTCGAAGAGGAATGAAGAGGGAGAGAGAGATAGAAACATCAATGATGAGAGAGAATCATTGATGGGCTGCTTCCTGCACGGCCCCCACTGGGGATCGAGCCCAGGAATGTGCCCTGACCGGGAATCGAACCATGATCTCCTGGTTCATATGTTGACGCTCAATCACTGAGCCATGCCGGCTGGGCTCCTCTGCCTTTTCCTTCTACACAGGTCCTCAGTGGATTGGATGACACCCACCCACATGGGTGAGGTGTTTCTTTACTCAGTCTATATTCATTTGCTCATTACTTCCAGAAGCATCCTCACAGACACACCCAGAAATAATGTTTTACCAGCTCTCTGGGCATCCCTTAGCCCAGTCAAGTTGACACATAAAACTAACCATCACAAAAACAAAAGTAGAGAGAATAATATAATGAACCCTCATGTATCCTTCATCTAATGTCAACAATTATAAAGTCAACACCAATCTAGTTTCATCTATACCCCTCGCCCTGGGAGAGGTAAGAAACTTCCAGACATCAATTACTATAATCTGTAAAGCATCTGCAATATTGTGTAAACATAGACACAATACCATTATCCCATCTATAAAAGCCAACATTTCCTTAATATAATTAATATCCAGTCAGTGTTTGCATTTCCTCAATTATTTTTTAAAATAGGTTTTTATTGATTTTTTAGAGAGAGAGAGGAAGGAAGAGGAAGAGGAAGAGAGAGAAAAATCGATGTGAGAGAGAAACATGGATTGGTTGCCCCCCACGTGCACCTCGATGGGGGATTGAACCCACAACCTGGCTATGTGCCCTGGCCGAGAACTGAATGAGTGGCCTTTCGGTGCATGGGACAGTGCTCAACCAACTGAGCTACACTGGCCAGGGCTTCCCCAATTATTTTTGTAGCTTATTTGTTCTAATCATATTTCACAAAAGTCTGAATGTTGCTTTTGGTTGACATGCCTCCTGTGTCTCTCTAAGTTCCCCCACCATCTCCTTTTCCCCCCTTATAATTTATTTTTTTGAAGAAAATGTTTTTCCCATAAAGTCTCCATGATCTGGATTTTGCTAAGTGCACTCCAATAGTATCTTTTAATGTATGTCTCTGTTTCCTGAGCTTTCTCTGAATTGGGAATTCAATCTAGAGGTTTGATTAGGTTCAGGTTCCCTTTTCTGGAAGGACTACTTCATAGGTGCTGGCCTGTTCTTCTCTCAGGAAGCAAGTCATGTCCCAGGGTTTCTCTTTTGATGATATTAACTATTGATGGTCATTGCCTAGAACTATCATTTCATTAAGGTATTTTCATTATATCATTTTTTCTTCATTTACTAGTCAACTAGAGGCCCGGTGCACCAAATTCGGGGGGAGGGGGGTCCCCTCAGCCCAGCCTGCGCCCTCTCGCAGTCCAGGAGCCCTTGGGGGATGTCTGACTGATGGCTTAGGCCTGCTCCCTACCTAAGCCATCAGTCAGACATTCTTAGCGCTGCCGCGAAGGCGGGAGAGGCTCCTGCCATGGCCGCTGTGCTTGCCAGCTGTGAGCCCAGCTCAGGGTTTCTGACTGAGTGACACTCCCCCTATGGGAGTGCACTGACCACCAGGGGGCAGCTCCTGCATTGAGCGTCTGCCCCCTGGTGGCCAGTGTGCATCATAGTGACCAGTCATTCCGCTGTTCGGTTGATTTGCTTATTAGCCTTTTATTATATAGGATACTTCTATCAAGACAAACTTCCCCTCACCAAATATTCATTATCCTGAAATGGCGTTCGTAGAAGGAAAGGCAAGATACATGCTTGATTCTTTCTGTTTACCAGTTGTTTGTTTTTCAATGATTTCCTAGCATCCTCGAAACCAGCTCTGTTTTCTAAGAAAGCCATCCTTCACCATTCCTGCTTTCATCCCTTTCCCAGGGCCCGGTCACAGGGCCCCGCCTCACTGTCAGGGGGTCTGAGATCTTCAGCATTTAAACCTGGACAGCAGGTGCTCAGGCACTTTCTCTATTACAGCGGAGCAGGATCATGGGCCCCGGTTCTTCTTCATTTCCTGTGACCAAACCTGTTTCAGCGCCGAGACAGTTCCTGGCACACAGGGCTCTGCTCAGTGAGTGTGCAGGGAGCACTCGAGTACATGGCCCAGTCCTCACTGCTGCTGTCCGTTCTACCTCCCAAATTTCCAATTCAGCACAGGGCACGGGACTCCCTCCTGCAGCCTCAGTCAGCCCAAGCTACTGTTCCCCCTGTTCCTTCCCCTCCCTCTTCTTCTCCTTCTTGCCTCCTTTTTCTCCCCCTCCTCTTCTCTTTCTCTCCTTCTTGCCCCCTTTTCCAATTCCTTCTCCTACTTTACTTCTGGGCCTTTGCACATGTTTGGCCTCCTTGACTCAATGTTTCCCCATTTTCTCAGGCTGTTAGAAATGGACCCACACTTTAGGGTCCTCTCCTACTGTGCCACTTGGACTTCTTCTGACTCCCCATCATCCTTGGTTATGGGCAGCCCCTCTTGAATCCTCTTTATTTTCTTGTGATTATGCCCTGTGATTGTCAGTGTCTGGGGCGGTGACTCTTCTGCATCAGGCTGCAACTAGACACTCCCCCCACCCCTGCCATCACCACCATGTTTAGCAGAGGGCTGTTGTGACACCAATCACACGGATTGTAGCACAGCTGTTTTGCACAGATTTTGAAAGCTGTATCTACCTGATGCCAACACAACCTGGAGAAAAGCAAGAATTTTGTCCTTAGTCTTGGAAAAAGTTTTGATGTCTACATGACTGGTGTGCTTGATTTATTTCCATTTGTTGATTAAAGGGTAATGGTGGTCTTACCCCAGATCTGATGTTTGGCTCCAAAGTAGTTATTTAAATAAAAAAAAAATAAAAATCTATATATATAAAGAGCCAAGGGCCATCACATCCGAAACAACTGAATGGATGACCGAACAGGCTGAGTGGGGCAACAAGGATGACAGAGGGGTTAATGAGGACAACCAAACGACGGAGCAGCAGGCTGTGTGGGGCAACCAGGCCAGCAGGAGGGTTAGTGAGGGATGACCAAACAACTGAGCAGCAGGCTGTGTGGGGCGACCAGGTTGGCAGGGGGGGCAGTGATGGGCGACCAGGCTGGCAGAGGGGGGCAGTGAGGGGTGACAAGGCCAGCAGAGAGGGGCAGTTGGGGGCAACCAGGTTGGCAGGGGGGCAGTTGGGGGTGACCAGGCTGGCAGGGGGCAGTTAGGGGCAATAAGGTCGCCAGGCAGAGACAGGGTTGATCAGGCAGGCAGACAGGTGAGCAGTTAGAAGCCAGCAGTCCTGGATTGTGAGAGGGATGTCCGACTGCCGGTTTAGGCCCGATCCTGGGCCTAAACCAGCAGTCAGACATCCCCCAAGGAGTCCCGGATTGGAGAGGGTGCAGGTTGGGCTGAGGGTACCACCACCCTGTGCATGAATTTCGTGCACTGGGCCTCTAATATATATATATATAATTGATTTCAGAGAGGAAGGGAGAGGGAGAGAGAGATAGAAACATCAATGATGAGAGAGAATCATTGATTGGTTGCCCCCTGAATGCTCCACACTGGGGATAGAGCCCACAACCCGGGCATGTGCCATTGGCCAGAATTGACCCCGGGACCCTTCAATCCACAAGCTGTCGCTCTACCCACTGAGCCAAACAGGCTAGGGCCAAAGTAGTTCTTGAAACAAATGCTTCTGGGCTCCATAAACATGATGTTCTACAGGACCCTTTCTGCAGGTGGCCAGGGTGGAGACAGAGGCATCAAAGTGTGGGTCACAGTTCAGGTGACAGTGACATTTCTACCTTACAAGGTCATGGTCTCCATCTTGGATCAAGAATTATAGATTGACCTTCACCTTTCATTTTTTATACTTTTTACTGAGTTTTACATGCTAAGCCTGCAAATATGCTCTAGGTGTTGGTTTTGGCAGGAAGAGCATACAAAGGAAATACCCTGATGGATGGAGTATTCCTACAAATCTTTCTGTTCTCAAGAATCTGCTTTACTGTACTTCTGTGGACTTTGACTAATGGGGGGCGGGTAGAAAGAGGTCATCTCAGGCGATGGAAGAAAATGGAAAGTAAGAGCAATACTGGGCCATGTGCTGGGAAATGTGGATTCCAGTTCTAACTCAGCCAAGAATGGTTGTGACCTTGTTGATAACCCCATTTCTGAGCCCCAGTCTCCTCATTTGTTAAATAAGGGGTGGGTAAGATAATAATCGTTTCATTCTTGGAGACACCACTGT